ACAGGCCGCTCGTTCCCGCTCCTGACCCCGCAGCTCGACTCCCCTGAGCGCGGCTAGAGCTCGAGGATCGCAGAGGTCACGGCGGCTGACAGACCACGCTGGGCAATGCACCCTACGGCGAAAGAGCGCACCTGGGCCCCCGCGGCAGGCCCGACAAAGTCCCGAGGCAGAGATCCCGTGGTCAAGCTACTTCTGCTGCGTCCAACTGGCCATCGAGACAAGCGATCAAGCGGCGCTCTGGTGATGCTCCGTCCAAACCTCTGACCGACTCCCCTTCCAGGGCTTGTCGAAGGGGCTTCCAGAAGATCGGCCTAGTCCAGGCCCCCTCTGACTGGTGGTGAGACAGCGCTGCCGCGTCTGACCTAGCAAGTGCCGCTCTCTCAGCCAACATCCTTACTGGGCGAAAATCTGAGAAGGTCCAGCCCCTCTCCGTGACAAAGTGCCGAGCCGAGTCCCCCATCCAACCCAACTCCGAGAGGGCGAGCAGGAGGACGTGAACAGGCGAGCACGCCACTCCCCAAGGATTCCGAGAAGCCTGGAGGTGCGCACGCGCCGAAACAAAACCTCTGCAAACTAGCCAGGCTCGGGGGCCCTCCCCAACGGCCCTGGCCCACATGAAAACCACAATACCGTGGTAAAGTTTGCTCGGGCAGATCTGAGCCCCCCAGGGAGCTGGACAGAAGACGGAGCCCCACGGAAGAGGTCTGCTTTGTCTTTAAAAAGGCTGGTGACCGCTTGGAGCCTCAGGCCGCGCAACTGACGCCCAGACAAACCCATCACCGCCGCCCCCCACAACGATCCAGCTTGAGGCCCCGAGCGGTACACCGAGCCGGTCTTCGCACCCGCTTCTCGGAGCCTGCGCAATCGGCTGGCACGACGGACCCCTTTCATCGACCTACGCTTCGCAATCGGAGCTCGGCGACGTCCGACCGACGCAGCGTCGGCCCCAAGGTTGCGGGCGACGCTCTTCCGACCGAAACAGAGGTCCGCCCACTCGGCAGCCAATCGGTCTGCGACGCCCCCGCACGATTCCCCCCCAAAAAAAAACTGTTAGAAGCCTCTAGGCGCAGGCGCAGGCGCGCGAAGCCACTGGCAAGCTCACGGCCTACCGCCCCCAGCTGCTGCCCGACGTGCTCCGCCGCGCCGATGCTCTGCGCCGACACGTCGTCCGCTACGTTGCGCAGCGTCACCGAGGGGCGGATGCGCTGGATGCCCGCGAAGAGCTGGCACAACAAAACCTTGACCATCGTCGTCGCCAGGCTGCAGCCCGCCAGCACCGCGACGTCGGGCACCACGAAGACGTCGCTGCAACAATCCTGGAAGGTGATCACCCTGGGCCCACTGCACAGGGCACAAGCAGCGCGGCCGACCTTCAAATTGAACTTCGCCGACGCGGCCTCTGAACCAAGGGAAGAGTGCGATGCGTACTTGCAAGCCTTCTTGAGATCCGCGAAGAGCGAGCCCGACTCCTTGCCTATGCAATGGCCGCAGTACCCGAGCAAGTTGTGATCCCAACCCGCCTGGTCACACGACTTGTCTCGCACTGCCCAGAAAGCCGCCAACCGATGCTCGCGCTCCCACTCCTGGGCGATGTTTTGCCGAACGCGGCTCCACACCCGCAGCAAGCTCGCGATCAGAGCGATGGGACGGAGCCCTCCGCCCTCCTTGCCGCTGAAAATGGTCAGCGGTGGCCGCAGCTCTGACCGGGCGGGGGCGCTCTCCCACAGCTCAAGAAAGTCCAGCAGGCGAACCAGGAAACTATCGCCCAGCAGAAGCCACGACCTGGGGTTGGCGCAATCACTGCCCAGGCCCGTCTCGTGCTTAAAGCGCAGTAGCACTCGCTTCAGCTGGGCCGGGCTAGGCCGCGCCAGAACAACCTTGGCAGCCTCGTCCAGGACCGACTGCGCCATCGGGGCCTTGCCGTCGAACCAGTACCCCTTCCACTCCGCCAGCAATGCGGCCACGGCCGCGCCCCGCTGCAGGGCTTCACCATGTCCGCCAGCTGGTCCGTCCAGGGCCACATGCTCCTTGCTGAACTTGTGCGCTGCACGGCCTCCCTTCATCACCGACTCCTTGGCCCACGCCTGCCAACGCTGCCATGACCGTGCGCGCTCCTGCTTGCCGACCTTGTCTGCGAAGTCTCTGACGGCCTGGTCCACTTCCGACAACAACGAACCACCTGCCAACAGCGCCTCGCCGACCTTCGCGGCCGACCGCTTCGACTCCGCAACCTGCTCGGCCCCCGACCCGACATCGTCGCACTGGCCCAGCATGTCGGACAGGAGCAGCACCCGCGGCTTGGCCTCATCAGGCCAAGCTGCCACCGCATCCTGCTTCTGACGGGCGGCAGCCGCCGCCCCAGCATCTTGACGAACAAATTCGAAACCTTGGCGAGTTACAGGTTTGGACGAGAACCCCGTACATGTCGGGGAGTCGCGGTCACGAAGAGCAGGGTCGGCGCTGCCCACCTTCGCTCCCACAGCCACTCCAGGGCTACCTT